CTGGCCTTGTATGCACCTGGCACCCAGGCCAGCCTTAAACTTGTATTTATCCTCTTGCATCTCAGTCCCAAGTGTTGGGATGTTATATGAGTCACTATGCCTAACTCTAACCAAAACCCTAAGTCTTTAGCTGATTATCAATAAAAATATGAAAAAATTGTTATTAATAAATTTAAAGGTGCAAGAATGTCTCCATAGTATGTGAATACAATGAACATTGTAGGAAACAATCTACAATTTCAGAAATACATTTAATTAGAAGTTTGAGCTTTTTTAAACTGTTAGCAAACATTTCTAAACTGCCTTGAAAGCAGTCAACTAGATGTCAGAACTGCTTCCTCACTCAGACCAGACCCATATGTAGTTTTGTTAAAGAAAATGCCTTCTCTCATGTTACCATAGTGCAAGGACATAATTGACATCTAGAAATCATCTCATATACCACTAAAAATTATTATAACCAACTTTCATAATTATTACAAATCATATCCAGAAAACCTTTTAATACCTGAAAATTTTCCAGAAAGACAGTACATACAAATAAAATTGAAGAATGTGATATAAGTACTGGGATTTGATCAGGCAATATGCTATGAATTAATTAGATTACATGCTTAACACAACTGTATGTATACCAATAAAATAATATAAATTTGAAAAACTTCTATGAGATTGTCTTCTTAAACCAAAGGGACACTCATTTTATTGAAATCCCAAACAAAAAAATAAACAGATGTTCTTTGAAACTATTTAGAAAACACTATGCAAGTCTACTCATTTAAGTCTGAAATTCAGACAATATATATACACACTAAACTTAAAAGAAACACAATTCCTTTAAACAAAGTGAGATTTGATAAGGTTGGCAGTACAAGTCAAGAGTAAGATGTGATTCATCAGATTTTTATCATGATAAACTGATTGTTACATATGCTATGTGAAACTTATTTTTTTTAAATCAAACTTTCAAAAGTACACTCTTCATAGAGCCAAGAAAAAATATAACATATGAACCTAAAATATAGAAGAAAGTATAAGAAAATGACTTGCTGATCTAAGAGTGAGGAATTCTTGGACACAAAATTGTAAAGCCACAAATCTTAAGGTGACTTGAAAAGATACAAAAGGATTTCTGTTCAGCAAAGAAATTTCTCCAAGAAATCAAAACGCAAATGGAAAAATCGCAAGAAGTTTGATTCTCTACAAGTGATAATGAAATACCTACAAAAACAACAACATAAAGAATTCTCACCAGAAATATGAGATCAGGCAATAGGGAGATAATGCACAGAAGGTCTTACACAGGAATAGGAAAAAGAAAGCCTAAAAATGGAGTCATCAAAGACAGAAAAAATGAAAAAAAGCAATTAAATTTCACTCTGAAACGAATCAAATTTAAAAAGGTCCAGGGTTGATGCCTACGAGAAACAGGAACTATAGCCCACTGGTGGTTGCTGTAAAGTGCATGGTGTATAATAAGGTTTTAAGTGATACACACTCTGTGCACCAGCCAAGATGCTCCTGAGCATCCAGGGGATTGTCTCTATCTGCTTCTGGGACAGCAGGTAAGAGAATGGTTCCTTGGTGCATTTATATCACTAAGAGAATTAGACAAGCTTGCTCTCCCTAACTGTGGAGAGGCAAAGAAAATGTTACACATACAAATAATAGTGATTCTTACAGGTACTACGTCTACATACACCAATGCAAATATATCTGGAAATAATATTGGGTGAACTAATTAAAATAAAGTATAAATTCTGTATCATAATATTTGGGTACTAAAAATATCTGTACATGAGGTTGGTACAGCTCAGTGGTAGAGCACATATGCAGTGCTCATCAGTATCTAGGTTCTATAGCCAGCATAAGCAAAGTACATGACGCTACCAAGCATCATTTAGTAGCAATGAGCAGGGGCACAACATGGAAAGAATACAAACCTACAACAGGTTTGTCAAGCACAGCACTAGTGATATTTGGGGCCAAAGTTCCTTCTTATTAAAGGCCATCTTGTTTGTTATGTGACACTGTTCATCCCCTTGATCTCCATCCTCGAGACACTACTAAATCTTTTTATGTTCTGTGTCACAGAGCTCTATGTTGAGACATTTTACATTTTCTGATGTGCACAATCAGCATTACTTGAAAACCATTGACTTGGCAAGTTCAGTGGACACACAAGCTCTCGAATGACAAGGTATAAGAATGGGTAAAGACCCGAAGACCTGCCAAATCTCTAGCTCTGCAGCCCAAAACTCAATCTTGGTGAAGATACACAGAGTACTTTGTCTTTCCTTGCTCCCGCTCTCCTTGTCCTCACTACCAGCACTACATTTCAGATGTCACTGGTGAGAAAAGCCAGAACAGGCTTCACTGCTTCATGCTGTGCAGTACAATGACAGCTGCAGAGAGATATGCACAGACTAAAAGGTGCTTTGAGCTGATGTTCTGTGCTTTATTTCAGCAATGTGATAAGCCCTTCCCATGGGCATCTCCATGATATGAATTGGAAAAATTGTCCTTAGTGTTTGTGCAACCAAGAGAACACCAGGATTCAGGGATTGCAGTCAACTGAAACTTACGGAATGTATAACAAAGGCTCATGGTCATCTCTTTATCCATAGACATATAAATCAGGGCAAAGATAAAAGTCTTGGACTGACATGCCTTCAGTTCTTTAATGGTATGGAAATGGAAGTGATTTTACATGAGTGGGCAATCGGGGATAGACTGGCAGATGTTTACCTAAGGTTATAGGAGTCGAAGAGTTTCCAAAATCACTAATTAGAAACTAGGAATGGAAGTGCTTTTTATTGAGCCTTGCACAAGCTTGATGGCTTGTGTTCCAACTGCTCAGGCCTGTGTCTGATCAGTAAAAATCTCTCTCCTATACCCTTGTTATTGTAATGGAAGCCAGACAATGTGATCAGATTGGAGCATTTCTCTATGATGATGATAACAACCACCACTGAATCACATCAAAACAAAGAAAGAAAGAAAAATCAAAATTCAGAGTAGTGTTTCCTTTTTCAAACACTGCTCATATTGTTCCCTTCATTCAACTGCTCTAGGGAACCTGATAATTACAGCTCTCAAAAATGGAAATAATCTGATGAACAGCAGCATATTTTAGAGAAACCTGTGTGAAGAATTTAAGTAGACATTCTTTTTGGTTAGAAAGGAAAAATATCAAGATCAACACAAAGAAGTTGAAAAGATGTTGAAGGTGTATAAAATAGGCTTGATCAAGCACACATTACTGTAAGTCTTAGATTCTTTAAAACAGCTCAACACATTTGTTTGATCTGTTTGGATGTATGTATGCAACAGTACAAAATCCTTATAAAAATACTAATTATCTCATGTACTTTATTGAATACAGTGCACTGCAAATCACTGCTTGTTCACCATTGGTGTCCTGTTGCTAACAGAGGAGTGATTCACTACTGCTGTCCACCATCACGAGCAAGTATTATACCATATAGCTAGTGTGCAAAAGGAATAAAATAAAAAGCTCAAATAGTGTTTCCACTGAATAATTTTTCTTTTATTCTTTAATGCTGAAGATTTTTCACAGGGCCTAGGCCACGTTATATGAATTACTGTTCAATGGAAATAAATCAGAGAATTTATATTTCATACTGAAAAAGGATACAGCTCAATTGTCTAGGTTGGGCAGCAGTAAAAATCCTGTCTCAATCTCCCAAGAACTTGAGAGTAAAGAGGTGAACGACCACATCTCATTAATTTTTACTTTACAGGAGAACTGAAATCTTGGTAAATCATGATCAATAAAGAACCCCATTCTTAAGCTGGCATAATGGCAAATGCAGGTCATCACAATAGTCAATGAAGTACAAAAACTCTCAAAAGATCAAACTACCCTGGGCAACTTAGACATGATCTCAAAAATTAAAAAAAGAGACAATTAAAAATTTGGTGGTATATAGCTCAGATCATATTTCTAGAAATCAGTTTCTCTACAATAGACACATTAACACCTCTTCAAATTTTCCATGTTCTGGGGGAAACCCTTCTACTTTACAAAACTTTTTAACCTACACCAAGACCAGACAGTTTCCTAATTTCCAATTTCCCCTTAAAAATGATTACTGAACTGAGCAGTGATAACAGGTGACATATTTATCTATTTCTAAGTTTTCTTCCTCTAATCAAGCCTGTGACTTTGGCCAACACAAACGTGAAGCAAGCATGCAATTCTTCCTTCGTGCCTACCCTAAGAACAATCTTTCACAGATCTTCTATGTTATAAACCTTGCTATTGGCACCCTTCTTCATGCCAGTCTCTTCCACATCCTTTTTACTCTCTTGATACATCCAAAGCAGAAAACCCTTCATACTTTATTAACCATTGATACCGCTGGCACAAAAGTCTATTTCAGAGAACATTTCAATATGTAAACAATGTTTACGATCAAGCTTCACAACTATTAATTCAGAGATGACACCACTGTTCCTTTCCACTCACACAGATATCACATGTATTTATCCGTACAAATGCCCAAATTCAGGTGTTTTTCAGCGAAAGTTTAACAAGCAGACTATTCTGGAAGTTGTCCTTAACAAGCACACTTTACTCTGCCCTTGCTAATACTTTAACATCTGCTCCAATTTTCTCAGAATTCTGAACTCTATAACAGTTGTCAACTAAACAGTCTACTTATGAGAAGGGATGTCATCTAAATAATTAAATAAGACTTTTTTCAATTCTCTGTATAGAAGTCAGGAGTTCAGAGGGTGTTCAATAAGTGCTCCACCACTGTGGCACATCACCACACTTTTTTAAATTCTCAGGGCCTCTGTCAACACCCATCATGAGTTCAGAAATAATGAGGACATACAGGAAATTTAGGAGCTCACTATAAACATAAAAAGCAGAAGTTTGAGGAGACGATTGTCACTACGAGAATGTGCATTCCTGACATTTATAAACTACAGAACCTTCAACATCTGCCGCTGACAGGAACCCAGCTCACCATGAACGCAGCTCTACCCAGCTCCAAACTCAGGGTCTCCTCAAGCCCTTCCTCTGCCCAGGTGTGAGGGCAGCAGGGTGTTTCAAAGATGGCACTGTGCGCTGCTGGTGTCATCCTGGGGACAGGGTTCTGGGAACGCAGAACTATCTCGCTCCACCAAGGAGTAAAAGGGACAGAGAATGATTTACTGACAGTGAGGTCCTCAGGGTCTGAACTAAGCACGGTGGCTCTGTCCACCGTAATTTCTTCTGACCACTTCTAACTCGTCTCGCCCGACACCACCCATTTCAGGGTTCCCATCCCACAACATCACCATTGCGTGGCTTGAGCGTCTCCCAGTTTCTTTCTGAAACACGTCACAGCGATTAGAATCCACAAAATGCGTTACAGTTGGTGTTCAGCTCGCAGTACCAAAATCAGCACACGTAATAGGCGCCATGACAGCGGAAGAGATCGCCTACCTTGGCGCATCTGATTGGACAGTACATATAGACCGCCCCGTCATCACTGAGTGACTCCGGCGCTTTTGCCCTCCCCCAAGCCGAGAATAAACAGAAACAAACCCGTACTTGCGAGAGAGGCTCCCAAACTAAAAGACTGTATTGCAGAGACTTCTGGACCAGGTCGTAGTCAACAATGCTGATCTCACATTGCCTGAGGGATATTTGCATTGAAGGGCTGCTTCTGTTTTCTTAAAGGACTCAATGGACTCTTACTGTAATGGCTGGCAAGTATGTTCTGAAGGTTCCAGGGTCAATCTTTTAGGGAAAAATCAATCCTCTGATGTCAAAAAATATGCTGAGCCCAGGCCAGGCCAGGCCAGGCCAGAGTGGAACAGAGAAAGGGCAGGTTGTTTGAGAGATGAATATTTTGGAGTGATATAGCGGACTTCATTGTCAAGATTTTAACACTTACCTCTCTATATTCATTTTTAGCCTAGAAAATGAATATAAGCTCACAAAAGGAGCACAATTACTGTGTAAATGAATAAACTAGGATCAAATGACAGCAATAATATGCAAAAGACTGAAGACAAAAGGAAAGCAAACAGGTCAACTCTCCCAGACAAGCTTACTACTCATCCAGAGTCATTAAAAACCTGAATTCTGAATATAAACATATTGCCAAGCATGAAGGCCTATCGCAGAAATGGAGCCACATTCCTCATCCACTAACCTGTTACCTTTTGATGAGGCAGGGGCATCTAAGGACTTCAGACTCTTAAGCTCCTCATGCCTTATAGTTCCTACTCATATACTGAAACTCTGCCTCCCCAGGATTTTAATATTCCTAGAAGGAATACATTGCCTGTAGCTATGTGATACACTTGTTAACTACTTCTCTGGCTTCAGGGATGTGTAGGGTATTGGTAAAGTACACTTCTAGATGTGTCTGGTGGAGTTGTGAAGTTGACCTGATGGACCAAATCTGGTCCCTGGATCCTTCCTCTCAGACTCCTTCCCTCATCTCTGATTCCTTGATCTCATGAAGAAGTTATCTTTCTTCTTCTCTTCTATTTACCAAGATATTTCTTCATCTGTAACAGTTAAATCCAGATTACAGCCTCTGAAACAATGAGACAAAATAAATACATTTTTAAGTTCTGTATGTCAGCTATTTTGTACCCGTAACTAAGTAAGGAAATAAATGTGTAATACCATTCAGTTAGGTGCATGTTCTAAATAATCTTCCAAATGTATCAATTCATTCTCCAACTAATTGTATAAACCAGTTTATGACTGCTCTTCAGGTTTTTATATGTATATAGTCTAGTCTAACACCAGAAATGCTTTGCATCTCCAACCCTTTAGTTCCCCTAAATCCGTTCTCCTTCATGTAGGCAGACCTACCTCAGTACAAACAGGCATCAGGCCATGAACTCATACATAAAACAAACCCACTGCTAGAACACCTGGACTCATGTTACACAGTATTTAGCAAGTTGATGGAGGCTTCCTTTACTAGCTACCAATTTCACTTGTGAAGAATACTCACAATGATGTGATGTGTATGACGTTGTTTTCTGAGAAATCATCCTAGTATACCTGAACATGTTAATGCAAGGTAATAAAACACTTTCATCTAGGGTTTTCCAAAACTTCACATGCTGCTTTTTCTGTTGCATGAGTTACATAAAATTGCATGAGTCACAAGTGCACATTATTCAGGTCTCATTCAAGCATTATCCTTTCAGAAGGGGCCTCTCACTCCCTGACACAGTATTTCAACTTTATTGAAGACTGATGGACCTCTGCCTGACCTCATCACACTTGATTTTGAGCTCCCTTGCCAAACAGAAGAGAATTTCCCAATCTGAGCCATGAGAAGATGAGGACAGAGAAGAGTTTAGCTCTTGGTCAGTATTGCTTCTCAGCATGAATGATAGTTTCATACCAAAGGAGAATGACACACCGTGATGATAATAAGGAAAAGTTAAAAGTAAAAGATGCTGTGAGAACATGAGTAAGGGCAGTGTGAAACTCATTAGCTCAATTTAAGAAGTGACATTTTACCTAGAATATTTTGAGTAACCCAAGATTGTTACTCAGACAATATTAAAGTAGCATTTATGGCACAAAGGCATGCAATTGTACTGAGCATAGAGAGGGTGCTGTTAAACACTGAGTGTAAACTACAAAGAAGTAGGGAAGTTCTGACACATTTTTCCCTCTTGTACCTGTAGAAGTCTAGCAAAATGTTCCAGCACCACTCAGGTTCAAGAAAGACTCTAGGTGGAATAAAGGGGACCTTTACTTGAATTTCCTTATGTTTCAGAAAGGTTTAAATGCTGTGCTAAAGGATTTTTGGGGAAACAATGTATTTCATGTTTCCTCATATCAACAAAATCTGTAAAAGACCTGAGAAAGCTGCAAATTATTTGTCATTATAAAATGTCCGCCTGTATGAGTACATCCTTTTCTGATATTTCAGGTACACAGAGACAAGACAGCTAGGGTTCCAAAAGCTCACGTTGAGATAATAGGCAACAGTATAGAGGCTCCTAACATGGCTACTTCTTGTTTACACAATACAGAAAGTAATGACTTGATACTGGTGGAGAATCTATACACACTATTCAGATTAAGCTATTCTTTTCTCTTGGCTTCTCTCAATGTGAAAAGAGACATGGAACATTAGGTGAGGAGAAAATATCTCCATGTCCCACCAGTAACACAGTCTATAATTTCCCACCTGTTAAAGTCAAGATTTGCAAGGAAATAGACTTAGCACAGAATATATAATTTATAGGATTATCTTATAATATTCAAACAAAAAGTCAAATGCAGAGAGCTGTCCACACACTAGAGACATAATACACAGCTGAGGGCCTGAATCATACAACCGTATCCTGCATAAATCATGCTGCTGATATAGGGCCCATGCCAAGGTACTATATGAGTCTTCCTTGGAATCCTAGAGGCCATGACAATGTCTCATTGCATGTCTGGAGGAAGGATATGAACTTGGAATGGCCAAAGGTCAGTGATGGAAGCTAGAAAACCTGCACTACTGCTGTGAAGAATCTGTACCACCAGGCTGAGGGATCTGCCCTGGAGCCAGGAAGCGACACTCAAAGTAGAAGCAGGGTTCCCCTGAAGAGAGCAGTAGCTTTGATAGTAAAATATCCACAGCAACAGTGAGGCCCTCGACTCCTCTGATGATAACAGCAGAGTTTTCACCAGGAAAACCAATGCAAAAAGCTTCTCCAGGAGAATCCACAGCATACCATATTCCCCTCAGATTCTCCTTTTATGTGGTTGGCAATAATTCTCAGGTGGATCTTCCACACCCAAAATCATGCTGTTCAACTAGGTATTTCAACTTGACCACTGCTTACTCTAACACACTGCAAAAATAGAAGTATAGTACTCTAGGCACTGAAAAATCAAAAAAAGACCTTGTATGGTGCCACGTACCTTAGTTAGTCATCTGGTAAACTTCCCATAACCATTTGTAACAAAATGTGAAGCTCATTCAGATGAAATGATCGGGAAGAGATATCTTCATATAGCAGTCTCTACATCTGCCTTGACAAATCTCTCACTAGGCAGAACTTCGGTCTGTTTCCTGTCTGTGTGTGCCATACTGTATATAACTGTGGGCATCTGTATGTATCTGTAGATATCTTTGGGCAGTTGTTCAAGTGATTTTTTTGCCATGCTTCACTTTTCACTGAATCATATCCAGGGCTTCACTGCCGAATATTCAGAGCATGAACATATCAAGGCAAATGTATATACGCGTATAGCATGGCTTTCTCTCCTGTCAAGTGAGACTATATTTTCCATTCTTCGCACCTTAGATACAGCTCTCAAGCATTCATCCTATAATTCTCACTGTTCTAAGAACTTAGAGAGTTTTAATGGGTGAAAGAGATGAATCACATCCTTTCTTTAGTTTTTAGTACTCAATTCAAAACAGATGAACATAGATCAAGGCACCTCCCAGTGCACAGCCATAATAAAAGTGGGAGTGGATTGGATATGAGAAATTCAGATGGCAAATGATTTCCTTTAGAAAATAAATGCAGCCAGAAAGCAAAATCAAACCACAGAGGAGCAATTCGAGAGTCATGATACCTCAGTCTGAGGAAAAATCAACAGGGGCAGAAGAGTAGAATTCCATATACATGCTTCAGTAAAACAAGGACTAAGAGTCATGTTAAGGGTCCTAGAACTAAGTCCAGTCCTTGTCTTCCCCTATATACTGTACAAGATAATACACTACCTGAAATATTATTCCATAAAATGATTTATGTCTACCAAAATTTTAAGAAAAATAACAGTAAATTGAGTTTTAATTCTATTCACTTTCTAACAGTGAACTGCAGCGTATTTCAGTACTGCAGAGACACTCACTAGACAAAGTTCCAATGAACAGTGGAACACTGCTACCCAGTCTACCTAGCATCTTTGACCCAGCCAATTCATCATTGCGATGAATCTTGGTTTTGTATTGTTTGATGAGAAACTTACTTTTAACAAGTACACTGATATATAACAAAAGATTGGGTCTTTTCCAGGCAACCAACATGAAGCAATCAATGGAGGCTGACTGGTACTGAGACTTCTGTGTCTAGGGGCACCGAGTTTCAAGGGTAAGTAGAGAAATCCATGTACTATAGGTTTTCCTCCTTACTCAAATCAGACACTTCAGTCACTGAACTAACTCATCATGTTTCAGTATGCCCTCTAAACTTCATATTTTGCAACTTACTGTCAAATACAGAGTTGAGATATGGGACCTCTACCAGGTGATGGGCACATTTTCTCTCATGAATAGGATGATGTTTTTCACATGAAAGTGGATGTATGACTAGAGTGACCTTCTAATAACACTCATTTATTCTCTATCACACACATGGTCACTTGGCACTCAAGAACACATCATACAATCTAGGCATGGAGACATACATGTATAATCCCAGCACTCAGAAGGTTGAGGAAGGAGGATCATCATGAATTCAAAACCAGTCTAGGCTATATCTTGAGTTCAAGGCCAGCCTGAAATACATAGTGAGATTCTGCCACAAATAAACCAAAACAAAACAAAATTATGTTGCCAAAAGTTCTCACTAGATTTTCATTCCATGGTCTTACACTTTGAAGCCTCAATATTTGGAGAGAGCATGTTTCAACCCTTTATTAATTACTAAGTATGTGACATTCTGACATAGCAATGGATAAAGAACTGCATTGTCTTCTTGATTGGAATAAGAAAGCACTCATTCCAGTCAAGATGTCTAAGAATGCAATGATTTTGTAGTGGGAATGTGATGTTAGGCCAAGGTTGAGTGCACAAAACCTTACAAGGAGGACACTAAAGAATTTAATCTTCTCTGTGGTGTGGACAGCCCACTACAGAAGCTGAATATGCTTACTGGAGACACACATGCATTTCACTGTGTCCCAGGCTATGAGACTTTTGGATAGTAAAAAATTTCTTTAGCTTCAGGGGCTTCATCAGGAAAAGCAAAGTGTTCTATCATTTGGGATTCTCTTCATCGGAACCATATTCTGTGGATTTTCTGAGAAACAGAAATGACACTGAAATCCTTATACACTTGCATATTTCAGAAGCTGTTATGTATAGATGATACTTTACTATAAAAGGTATTGTTTAATTTTACTTCTATAAGAAAAAAATAAAAGATCAGTAACTGGAAAATGAGAGATTTTACATATGGAAACAGGATGAAGAAATGAAGGCAGGAGGAGAAATGGAATGTAAAATTAAAATGAAGAGTTCAAATGTATAACATTCCGACAACCAATGTAAAGATCCACTAAAGATATAGATTAATATAATGTTATTAAGATTTACTTGATTTTGGATTGTTAATCTTGCCATCAACATGACTATATATATAGACGTCATAAAACCTGCATGTCTGTGTTTGTCCTTCCAGATAAAATAATTGATATGCGGCTCATTGATCTGAGTGGGAAATACCTGTTATGAGGAAAAAGTGTTGTCATGTCAGAGGACTTGGCATTGGAGAGCTAAATAAACAAAAAACAAAAATAAACAAAAAAAGTGGAAAAGAGAAGCTTCTGCCTACTAGCATTGTCTTAAGCATGTGTGATGTTTAGTGCTGACAGCATCCAAAAATATCAGATTCTAGAACAAATCTTTATTAGGCTTTTTTAAATGGACATTCAAAGTCTTCCCCAATGGACTGTGGGTGCTTTATTGGTTTTTCTTGTTCTTAAGTTTCTAACATCATTTAAGCATTCAGTGATTCCCCAGGTTGAAGCCCTTAGAGACCCATAATAAGGATTAACCCTCAGGTTAGAGAAGGAAATTTTAGATATAATTTCTAAGGAAATTAGAAGGAAACGTTTAATACATCTGTATACATGTTTCACTGCAGTACACTGAGTAATACCACTGAACCCAGGAAAGAATATAATGAGGTTGTGATGTGCACTACCTCCTCAATAAAGTCTAAGTGGCCACAGATGTTTTTTGAGCTACAAAGGGGAAGTATTTCAACAAAAAAGTTTAAATAAAATATGGAAAATATACACTTAATGTACAAAATTTAATGAAAATAACAGTGATGTCGTTGTACATTAACATGCTTATATTGACTCACAGTCTAGTAGGAAAATTTAACCTAGAGCCCATTTCATCATAACATCACATACTTACTAAATGGAGTACACTGAAGAGTATTTATTGTTTATCGTGGGTATCTTCTCACTGACAGAACAGTATTTGATGCTGCTTCCCACAGAAAAATTATTTCTGCAATAATCAAGAATATTCAAGAGTAACAGAAATTTAATTTCTTTAATGCTTTGTAGAAATACCCACAAAAAGAAGCATTACATGAAATAAAATTACGTGGTTTTTTTTTTAATACTTTGTACACTGACTTCAATAGTGGTTTAGTTAGTTATATTTCCATGGATGACATTGAATACTTCCTTTTTTTTGCAGCCTTATGAACATTTTTTTAAATTGGTGGTGATGTGATTTGTGTGGAATTAGATGATATTCCAATTTGCATTTCTTTACTGGGCAAAAATGCTCAACAGTACCTATCCTGTGAAGTGTGTATACATTTTACTTGCCTGTTTGTGTTACAGGCAATTGAAATAGAAATATTATAGGCAGTGAGACAGGGCTAGGTCCTCGAAGGAACCAATTCAGAAGCCCAGATACCTTGCAACTGTGGGGGAGACAGATACCTCCTGTTGTGGGCCAGGCCTCAAGTCAAAAGATCAGACAAATGCACCCACATCCTAAGGACTTATATTCTACATACATCTCTTATCACCCTGGGGAAGCCAGAAGTCACAATCTCAACCCCCTAATGGGAGAGTCATTGCTCTTTAAGCATGAGCACCTGCTACATGACTTGGTTTCCCATTTGTTCCTATTATAATCAATTTCACCTAAACAATTGATCTTTTTTTTTTTTTTTTTTTTGGTCTTTTTCCTTTTTATCGGTACCGGGGATCGAACTGACGACCGCCTGCTTGCAAGGCAGGTGCTTATGCCGCTGAGCTAAATCCCCAGCCCGTAAACAATTGATCTTACTGGTTAACTATAATTCTGTCCCACCTCATGCCCACTTTGCAAGTTCCCATGTTTTCTCAACCTTGGACCCAGCTCATCATGTGATTTTACTCTACAAAAGTATCTGAAAGAGACAGTCTTTGGCAACCTGCTCAGGATTCCTTCTCTGTCAGACAGTTTTCTCTGAATAAATGTATTCTGCTCTTAACCTCCATTGTTCCTAAAATTTATTCTTCATTCATAATTCGAACACATAATTCATAACATGTATTCATACTGGGACATCTCGTAGGCTGGGAATTTCTTTCCCCTATATCATTGTTTTACATATTAGATCTCGGGGTAAATCAGGCAAAATTTTTCCTTTTTTAGATTCTTTCATTGTGCATTTACTGTTTTGTTTTATTGGTTTCTTGTTTGTGCAGGAGTTTTGAAATTTTACACATCCTTTTTTTGGTCATATCATCGTATCTTCTATTCTACCCAAAGCATTAGCAAAAGCATTGAGAAAACAATTCTTTTTAATGTTCCTACATTCAGAACATGAGATGCCTGGTTCATCAAAGTTTCACTGGTTATGTTTTTATCAGATACAGGAATATATGTGACTGCTGCACAAATACTACCATGAAAAGTGCATTTCCTGAGCAACAAAATCATAGTGATTTGCAATAGTGATTTTAAAAAATCCTATCCTAGGGCTGGGTATTTAGCTCAGTGGCATAAGCACCTGCCTTGCAAGCAGGCGGTCATGAGTTCAATCCTTGGTACCGATTAAAAAAAAAAAATCCCATCCTAGGTTTATATTCTTGATGTCAACTTGCTTTTTTCCTTGAACTTTAAATACAGGTACAAAGACAATTGCTTCAGAATTTGCTAAAGCATATAGCTAAAAGGTGCCCGAAGTGAGCTTTAAAGCCCTGATCATCACATCTCAGTCTCCTGATGCTGGGACTAAAGGAATCACATTTGGCATGGACCTTTATACATAACCACTTATTAGTCCAATTATTTAAATACGAGATGATTCAAAATTGCATATTTTTCATTAATTTTTATAAGATAGTATAACAGGAAACAAAAATGACAATTTTGTCAAATTTATTCAAGATTCAATTGATTAAATGACACATGTTCCAACAATTCTCAGGATGGTTCAAAAAAATGTGCTGCCCTAGTGATGCCTGGGGCAAATAATAACTGGTCAGGTGAGAAAAGAACCACTGATGTGTAATTGTTAGTATTAGAAGGATTTTTATACTGGGGATTACACACAGGACCATGAAAGCATGGGCCTGCATCTGCAGAATTTAAATGTATTTTCAGACAGGTTCTCACTAAGTTGAATAGGCTGGACTCAACCTTTTCATCCATGATTTTAAGCCTTCTGCATTGCTAGAATTATAAGCATGCAACAAAAGGATCAGCAATTTTTATTTTCATGGAAAAATAATGAGAAAGTAAATGCACTGAGGATAAATGTCTTGTAGGTTGAATTTTCTATTATTAGCTGGAATAGCAATACACAGTCCACGTCTTGCTGGCAAGGGTAAGCAGAAATGTGGAAGTTGGTAACACGCTGGTGGGTATGGAGACTGACACTTTACACTGTCGTTTGTTCCATGAATTATATTAGGTATTTCAGATACAACATAGATATAAGTTTATAAGATATACAACTTGTGAATAATTTATGTGTTGAAGCATAATACAGACTAGGGAAAGCTATATTGCCTGTATTAGGGAGGCATAATGCACTGCTTACTTACATTTTCATGACACCATAGGTGTACATTAACAGAACATCATCAGATCTTGGGTAGCTTTTGTATTTGAGAACACTGTATTCAACACTGTACCAATTACATCTATGTTATAAAGAGAGTAAAAAATAAAGGTCAAAGTGGAACTCATACACACCTTGGCCCAGTGTATGTGTTAGAAGGCAGCTGGCACAAACTGTAACCACCAGGAAGTGGTTCCTGTGAACAATGAGAAATGACATAATATAGACATCTCAAAAATTGGTAAAAACAACAAATTCTGAATTATAACTTAGTAAATTCATTTTTATTTTACTGACCGAAACCTCACAATGCACAGCATTAGAGAATAAAATAAACACATTTGTCTTCATACATTCAACAGCAACCAATTTCCCCCAAAACTGAGAAAACTTCCTTTCAAAGTGTTGTTATTGATAAATCATGCCATAGTTTATACATTCTGGAAATATTATTCTACTTTGTTATATTCTTTTACAGACAAATCATGGTTCTGTTGGTCCAGGGCAGTCAGAAATTCACAGCAGCATGGTTTATTTTTGGTGCATGTGGTGGAAAAATTAACAACAAAGTAAAGGTCAATGTCATATAAATATGATAAGTACAATTTGGAGAGTAGCAATACATGAACATTAATGTAAATGATAATATTGGGTCCAGTCAGAAAGACAGGCAACACTATGCATATCACATAATATACAACGATGATAGGGTATAAGCAAGTATTCTAGCACAATATGAATAATGCAGTATTTCCTAAACTACAGTTATCAAAAAACTCATCATTATCAAAAACACATACTCACAAACCTGTGAAAATATAGGTATTAATATGAATCATGGCATAAATTCAGAAATGTTGATACACACAAATGGAGTATATGAACCAAAAATTTAGAAAAAATGGTCACAAAATTCCAAAAGTTAACAAAAAACAAATAAAAATTACATTTTTGGTGGCCTATACCTCTGAATTTCAAAAACAAAACATTAACAACACACACTATGCATACTTGAAAGTAAAAGGTACATTTCAATTCATTATGTTTAATTGAAAGACACTATAGTTAAGCACAAAGACTCAAAAATGCAAATTTATGTCAGTTCAATCCTTTTCATATTAAGCCCTATAGATACATAATCTAGATATTTGTCAGTGATTTACTGAAAACCACAGAACATTTAATGTATGATAGCTCCACTTGGGATTTGTAAAACACGTGAAAAAATACTGATACTGAATTTGTGTAGTGATTGTTTCTTCAGTTCTCCAATACAAAAGAACTTACCATAAGACTTTCAAAGTAGGCTTACATCCAGTTTCTGACCAATGAGGCTTCTTTACTGTCTAAAAATATATGTGGACTGGCATCTTTCCCACATTGCTTATCTACCTTAGATTTCTACCTACTAAGTTTTCTTTCATATATGATCAATTCTCAGTATGAGCTCTTTCATATATTTTGCATTCACTGGACCTGCTTTCCACCTTGCTTACCTATACAATGTTTCTTTAGGGTGAATTCTTTTATAATTTTGCCAGTGACTGTTTGTTGTAAAAGATATCCCACATTGTTTACAAACCTAGGTTTTCTCCCCAGAGTGAAATCTTTTGTGTATTTTACAATATTGTTATATGGTAAAACTTCTCCTGCATTATTTACATACATAAGGTTTTTTCCTGGTGTTTTTTTCATGATTTCGACAATATGTGTTTCTGCTGAAAACTTTCCCAC